CATCCATCCATCCATCCATCCATGGCTTGAGTGCCTTTCTTTAAGGTAGCCCCTCAAGATTTGTTTTTTTCAAAGCCCGCAAGGAGGCGGCCTCCGTGCCTCCGGCGGCTTCACGCAGGAAGCCGAGAGTTCGGTGCTTTTCGAGCACTGCTCGGCACAGTTCGGTGCCATGGCGAGGATGTGCACGGGTTTCCGAAGTATGCAGCGAATTCTATCCAATTCGGATGTTCTCGTGATGGTCACATAAGGGCCTTAATGCCTTAATTATTAGAATAAGGTTTTTTGGGCCTTATCATAGTAGGATAAGTAGATAACGTGACAAATCTTCAGACCCCCGCAGTAGACGGAAGTTCGCGGTATCCTGGTGAAGAGCGTTGAAACTTAATATATGGGCCTAAAAAATCACTAATACTACTTTCGTGGTTCCTTATTGTAAATATAGTATAATAGGCCCCGAAACCTTATTTTAAATATTAAGGCCCCTATATTAGTTGCACCTTGCTGTAATGCGCTTACGTGAGAGGTTTTTAAGCATGCCCAGAGGACCCAATACCCCTGAACTAAGGAACATACCTTTAAATCATAATATTAAGGCTCCTATAATTTAAGGTATATTCCTGAATTAAGGTGTATTGGGTTCTCTGGGTGGTCTGATATGAGGCTCGGTGTGTGCAGGCGGTTGCTCGAAACGGCGAAAGCAATCCACAATTTCAACGTAATTGGGTTTAGGGTTTAGGGTTTAGGGTTTAGGATGTCTTTGAACGGTTCGGGGGTGCAAGAGTGCATGGCCAGATGCGAGATGAGGTTCTGGCTTGAGTTATCTTGGCTGCGATTCGCAGATTTGCTTTCCGATAAGACGGCCCGAACGCAAAGAAGCGATGCAAAACCCAAGCCGGCGGGTGTCGCGCGGACTCAGGGTTTCATTTTACTTTCGAGGGAGGGGGAAGCCCTCAACCCTCAACCCTAAACCGGAGAGGGGACGGGGGGGGGGGTTGGGGGGCTTCGGAGATCCGGCTACCCTAAACCTTAAAACCTAAACCCTAAAACGGTTTAGGGTTTAGGGTTTAGAGTTTAGGGTTTAGGGTTTAGGGTTTAGGGTTCTCATGCGGATTAGGCACATCACGCTTCAGGCGGTGGCCTCTTCACTCAGAGCTACCAGCAGGAACCTGGGAGTTCAGCGGTTTTCGAGAACTGCATGGCAGCCATGAGCTCCCTGGCTTTTTGGTAGTTTTTGGCTTTGGTTTAGGGTTTAGGGTTTAGGGTTCAGGGTTTAGGGTTGTCGGTTCAGGGTTTAGGGTTTACGGTTTAGCGTTTTCGGTTTAGGGTTTAGGGCCTATTTAGGCTTTAGGGTTCAGTCCGGGCCCGGATAGGCGCGTGAGGCCCCAGTCACAGCCAGCTGATGTCTTTGTATTGAGAGCTCTTTAGGATTCAGGGTGCGGCTTACAGAGCAAGCATTAATGATAACAGTAACAACAATGACAATAATGATTAACACGATAACAATGAGACTACCAATAGTAATAATAACAATAATGATAATCATAGTATTAACCATGGCAATAATTATACTAAACAATAATTATGGGCTTTCCTTCGGGTTTTGACATTTGACGGCGCCGAGTTACCTGTGACAGCGGAGCGTGTCTTCGGATTTTGAGGAATGACAGGTAAACCCTTAGCTGTTCAAGCATTTTCACAACAGAGCATAAGCATTGAGCCGCATATAGTGTCACCGATATCAGTTCTTTTGTTGTTGAGCTTGCCTGTTCCAAGTTGTTAGGACGATGAGGCTGCTGCAACCCCTGAACCGTAAACCCTAATCCCTAAGCTCTAAACCCTGAATCCTGCAGACCCTCCCGGAGAAAATGAGTTCAAAGCAAAAACTAGACCCTAAACCCCAAACCCTAAACCCCAACACCCCAAACCCTAAATCCCCAAACGCAAACCCTAAGCCGCAAATTCCTAAACCCTAAATCCAAAGCCCTATATCCCTAAACCCCAATGCCCACATCCCTAAACCCTAAATCCCTAAACCCAGAACCCTAAACCCCAAAACCCAAAGCCCAAAATCCTAAATCCCTAAACCCTAAACCCTAAATCCGTACACCCAAAACCCTAAACCCCAAAGCCCTTAACCCGAAGCCCTAGACCCCAAAACCCAAAACCCAAACCCTAAACCCCTAAACCCCTAAATCCCTAGACCCCAAAGCCCTAAGCCCAAAACCCTAAACCCCAAAGCCCTTAACCCTAAACCCTAGACCCCAAAACCCAAAACCAAAAACCCTCCACGCTAAATCCCTTATCCCTAAACCCAAAACCCAGACCCGAAAGTTCCTTCGGTCATTTGATCCTTCTGCTTCAGCCCTGAAGCCTAGAACCCCAGCCTCAAACCCCAAACCCGCAACCCTATACTTAGGGTGTAGGGTTTAGGGTTTAGGGTGTCAGGGTTTAGGGATTTAGGGTTTAGGGTTTAGGGATAATACTCTGGTTTCTTGGCGCGGTATAACTAATAACAGAGATCTACAGTAGATAATAAGATGGTTTCAAAACAGTGGTAAAGACTCAGTGCCCTAACAAGAGTCCAGTAATTAGTAAGATTATTCCCTAGTGTAGTCCTATACTAGGTTATAGAGGTCTGCATCAGTAGCAATAATATAGCATCCTCCTAGTCACGTCGTAGTCCTTATATATATATATATATATATATAGAGAGAGAGAGAGAGAGAGAGAAAGAGAGAGTGAGATGGTTAGTTCTGGAAATTAGGGTCCTTTTTCTGGTCCGTTGCATGTGGGTGCCGTCCTTCTTTTTGGGATCTAAACAGGGGCCCAAGTTTAGAGAACTACCCATCTAGCCTAATTTACACACAAGACCCTATTCTAAATACTCAGGCCCCCACCTACACTCTCTGATCCGAGCCATTCGCCACCCTAAACCCTAAACCTCTTTATCATATGTATATTTAAACTTTAATATCAACCGTCG